CACACCACACTCGTCCCCCCTTTAAAGCATTCGTTCATGCTGTGGTTCTGCTCGCCACGCCACTATCTTCTTTCACTGCAGTCTGTGCCAAACTCTCCGTCAGAATGTCGAGTCTGCGGCGCGCTGACCTCCATAGCTCCGTCGACCTGCCGGGGCACCAACATCCGCATCCACCCGGCACCTGGGACGTTCAACACCCGTACTCCACCGGCCTGCTGAGCCATCTACATCCGATGTCCGCCCAGCAGCCGCACGTCCCACTGCTCCTCTCCGTCGACAGCACCCGCTACAGCCAACGCCGCCCCGCCAGAACACTCCACTCGACGCCAACTCTCCGCACCGGACTGCCCCAACTAACACTTCAACTCCAGACCCGCAGCGGCGTCCGCAGAACAGCACCCTTCCTCCTCCCGGTTGGCAGCGACACCAAATGTTGTGAACAAAACACTAGTTGGGGACAATCGAATGTATTTAAGCAAAGATTACAGACTATCTCAATAAATTCTGATTACCAAACAATGAACAGTCAATTTGCAAATTAACAACCAATTGTTTCAATCTTCACTGTTTCTTCTCTAATTCCATTGCTCATGCATTTTCCAGACGATTGCGCTTCATTCCAGTTCTTTCGTCATCGGTCTTCTGCCAAAATACATTCTATGTCTGACCCACACCATATACTACTTATATGGATATAAGTAGACCACACCACAGTAGTAGTAAGAGTATAAGTATTATGTGAAAGATTAGGGTTTGAAGATGTTATTCAAGGAGTATAATCCAGTGAAATAAATTTGGAAAGAGAAAAAGGATAGGGACATGAAGAATTCAGAAGATTAGAATTTGGGAGAACACAAAGAGTGGATGCATCTTCGCCATTGCAAACGATTTTGAGCCATGTCATTCAAGGTCTCTAACCATCGGTTGCTATCATCTCGCGAATCCCAACCAGGTAGTCTACACCTACCAACACGGTCCAGTCCACTTGTCAGTGACTTCATGGACTTTTGCTACGTTTTGGTCTGGCCACCCTTAGCTTTCTTCCAACCTACTTCTACACCATGAAACATTTCACGTCGGGGCAGTCGGTGGTCGGGCATACGTAACACATGTTCCAGCCATCTCATCTGATGAAGTTTCACTACTTCATCAATCGATTTACCATCCCTACCTAGTACTCGTTTCCTAACAACTGCATTACTTACCCGGTGGTCCCAGGATATACGAGTAATGCTTCGAAGACACATATGATCGAACACTAGTAGCCTACGAATATCCTCTACTCTTATCGGCCATGTTTCACTGCCATAAAGTATGACGGAACGAACTGCTGCACAGTAAACCCTTCCTTTGGTTGCTAGACGGATATCTCGCCTACGCCATAAACGGCGCAAGTTGGCTAAAGCTTGACGAACCTTCTGTATCCGTGCTGAGATTTCGTCACACACCAGACCACAAGGGTTGATGAGACTCCCAAGATAAGTGAAGCAGTCAACACGCTCAACTACTTCACTCCTTATCATTAGTTCAGGTGCCAATCCTGAAGTAATATTTTGCACTTCGAGGGGGAGAATCGCATTCCGAACATGCCTGCATAGTTGCTTGTAGTGGTCAGAAGACTCTGCATGTTGTCAGCGTCTTCACCGAGTAAAACTATGTCGTCGGCGTATTCTGAGTCAACAAGTGAGCCTCCTGGTAAAAGTTCAACTCCTGGAGGTTTAGCTGATGAAAGTGCTATCTCTAAAAGTATGTCAATGACAAAGTTAAACAAGAATGGGGAGAGTGAACAGCCCTGACCAACGCCACTTGTGGTAATCAGTTCTGATGACAGTTCGCCATAGGCTCTAACTCGACCAGTTGTGTTCGAGTAGAGAGCCTTTATGATTTTAATGTACTTCTTTGGTACTCCTTTCAGTGACAAACATTGCCATAGAACCTCACGATCAACGGAGCCAAATGCCGCCTTAAGGTCAAAAAATACTACTATTGTGAGACGTCTGAATTTGAGTCTATGTTCTAGAACCTGACGTAGGGTGAATATCTGGTCTATGCAACCACGTCCAGGTCGAAAACCAGCCTGGTTTTCTCTAGTCTGCTCTTCACGAGCTTTGGTTAGGCGACCTACTATTATTGAAGCTAATATTTTAGACACTATATTAGTCAAACTGATCCCTCTGTGATTGTCACAGGAGGACTTTTGTCCTTTCTTATAGACTGGCACAATCAGTGATTGGGACCAGTCAGATGGAATTACGTCCAGTTCCCAGATTCTACCTAAGACCTCAGTCAATCTCGCTGCTAGTACTGGATCACCATCCTTAAAAATCTCAGGGGTCAACCTGTCAGGGCCTGCTGCTCTCCCTCACTTCAGATTTCCTATAGCTTTTTCAACCTCACAGAGGGTTGGAGGACTTACATCAATTTGCCATTCAGGACGACTGGGGATCGTGGGTAACTGAAGTGTGGCTGAATGACAGTTGAACTGATCCCTAAAGTGTTCTGCCCATCGATCCAATCTCCTGGATTGAGAATGAATGATATGCCCATCTTTATCTGAGATGGTTTCACTGATATTCAGGTTCCTAATACCGGTTTCTTTAACGAGTCTGAATAGCTGCCTACTGTTACTTATTGCCGCTGCCTTTTCCATCTCTCTTGCTTTCGCTACCCACCACTGTTCACGATCATTACGTAGACTTTTTATAAGCCTGCGCTTAAGTTGACTCCGCTCTTCGTTATGCTCAGAGACAGGTGGGATGAGTTTACGAGCATCTATCATTGCTGTAGATGCTGCCGAGATCCATGGTTTCTCCCTAACCTTATGGTTTACCTTACTAGCGGATATCACTGCTGTTTCCACAGCTTTTCGGATGTCATTCCACTCTGCCTCGGGGTGGACACAACTTACATGGCTGCCTAACTGTTTTTCTAGTTGTTCCTGAAATATATTCTTGACCTGCCTATCATTAAGTAGAACCCTTAGAGGCTTCCCTGCATTGTCTTTCCTACGACTAGTAATTCGCAGACAGATACGTGCTCACACTAGAGCATGATCTGAATCTAAACATGTGCCCCATAATGAGCGACAGTCTTCTATCGAGCCACTCCATCGGTGGCTGATAGCGTTGTGGTCTAATTGGGTCCAACGTTGGGACGAATTCGGGGGTCGCCATGTCAAAAGATGTTTTGCCTTATGTTTAAAGTTAGTATTTGCAAGAAATAGGCGGTTATCTGAGCATAGCTGCAACAGACGGTGGCCATTATCTGTTCTTTTCACCAGGACACCATAAGATCCACCCAGGTGTCTTTCCCTTTCACTTAGTTTACCTACTTGAGCATTAGAGTCACCTTCTACTATTACTACATCAGAACGCCTAGCTTTTCGGAGAAGGTCAGAAAGTTTCCTGTAGAACTCATCTTTTATATCGTCTGAGCTGCAGTCAGCGGGAGAGTAGGCAGAGACGACGAAGAGGCAACGACGAGTTTCCCTATCTTTCCGAGTTATTACTGATCCGTTTAGTCGGACAGCGCATAGACGACTGTCTACTGGGATCCAGTCTAAAAGAGCTAGTTCTGCCCTACGACTTAATGCTATAACTACTCCAGCGTGGCCACGGGAAGCAGCATCAGGGCTTCCAGATACACGAAGCGTGTATCGAGATGGTTCTTTATTTTGATTAGGTGCGGTCAAATGAATGACACTACTCGGATCTTGTATGCGCGTTTCGGAGACGCAGCACACATCGATGGTGTAAGATTCTAGAGTCCTAGCTAAGGAAGCCTGTTGTCCTATTTGGTACAATGTTCTGACATTAAAAGTTCCTATATGTAGTTTAGAGCGTGGTTTCAGGAGACCAGGATTAACGTTCCGTGTACTCGAATCGTTTGCCCTAGTGGTGCGAGGTGATAAAAGGACGTAGGAAGGGTTAGTCGTGGAGATAAGAGAGTTGTTAGGAGGTGTAGGAAGGATTTGAAAGTGACCATTTTGGTCTCGTGTTCAGTTAAGGGTATGAGGGCTAATATCACTTCCCGGCTGCCCACACCGTGGAAGGGTATTTTTTGAGGGACCTGAAAAAGAAGTTGAATTAGTGTTGGTCATAACGACCTGGGAGCGTGACCGCAGTGCCCAAGAGACATCTGCTTGAGGCCGGTCACGCACGGCCTTTTTGTGGGGAATTTTTGACGTGTTAACTCCGTTCTTCAAAAATCCTTACCGCCGGAGACGGAAATCCGTGGGATAAGGCGAGGTGTCCATTTTTAGGGTCGACCTTTTCTAACCCCACCCCTCCTTGTGGGAAGGCAGCATCGCCGTCATGCTGGTTGTCTGAAGGAAACACCTTACTGCTTTCACACCTCTGTACAGTCGGCAGTACGACTTCGCCTTCGGACCTTGGGATTGCTGCTTTTAGTCTCACCGCTCTTCAACCGACCTGTCTGGCATGGTAGGACCTTGAGGAACGATTGTTCCAGCCAGCGTAGGTCGATTGGATCATCACGATAGGCAAGCCCGATCACCACGTCAAGGTAGCAGCAACGGTCGAGAATCAATGTAAACTACAAATTATCGATTAATTGTAAATAGTAAAATCACTAGACGCGCGCACAAACGGTCTTGATGTTTCACACGAACATCGAAAAAGACTTGTTGAAGATTTTTTCATTTATTACTTAGTAACTACTAACGTACACAATTAATTTGCGATACTTACGGGATAGTACTACGCATAACAACAGTCGACAGGTACATGAAAGTCTTACAATAAGGGTAATGTAGAAATGCAACCATACACTTACCTACCAATTATACAAATAATAGACTATGAATAGTATTAATTCGTAGAATAGTTCTGGATCTTACAACTTCCTCAATATTCATCCCATTATGAAGAGAGGTTAATTTTTTGTAGCTTCGATACCCCGTTAACGATGTGGTAATTATTTCATCTGCGCTTCATAATATAATCGTCCTTTCTTTTCTTCATATTTCTTTTCACTTTCAGCTTCATATCTTATCGTACGTCGTGTACTAACTAATCCTATCTGGTTAGGTTTAACACTAAGTACTGTTGTAGAACAATCGATTGTTGCTGCATTTTTAACATTTGCTGCAAAATACATTCAAATTTTATTTCATATACCAGCTTATTTGGCTAGTATTCATACTGGTAAGTTTCTTTTATTATTTTTTCATGGGTAAGAATTATTACAATTTCTAGTTTGTATTACTTTGTTGTTGAAATTTATAACTAACTAGCTTAATAGATAATGTATTGGTTTTTACATCGATAGTTATCAAGTTCAAATCTCAGTGTCATTACCTACACACCTAAGATCCCAAGTACATCCTTAAATTGATGAAATACAAGTTCTAGATGCATTCCGCGTGTACTTACACTCCAGCTATACAAAGATTATTGTTTCTATTGTCCAACTATGGGGCTTATCTACAATCACGAAGCAGAGGATAGAATCTGGGATCTTCGATGACATGTGCAAGCGCGTAACTGCTAGAACACTTGTTTTTTTATTCCATTGTATAATTTTACTTTTTTAATTCTCCACGATATTGTTCCTACCCATTTTGCATAAGCTATATTCTTTTATCGTATTAACTTTATCAAGATTATCTATTGTGTAGCTATAGTCTTATTTAATGGTATCATTCAGTGATGGTAATAATAATAATGATAATAATAATCGTAGTGGTGATGGCGGTATTAACAGTAATTGTTTTAAGGAAGACTTGAGGTGTTCATTAAATCAAATACAACCTTAATTTCAAAGGAATTAGTTACTTTGTTCTCTGCTTACAGAAATTCATTCATATGTATATTCTGAGAGCCAGATATGATAACACGTACAAGATTGATCTATTATTCTTTTTTAGAGTAATAATAAAGCCTACAAATAATCCGAGATGATGATGATGACAATCACAACAACACAAAAGAATGGTGATTATAAAAGAAATAGCATTGTTAATGGTAATACAAGTTCACAAACACACACACGCATATATATATTTGTGTTGTTGTGATTGTCATCATCATCATCTCGGATTATTTGTAGGCTTTATTATTACTCTAAAAAAGAATAATAGATCAATCTTGTACGTGTTATCATATCTGGCTCTCAGAATATACATATGAATGAATTTCTGTAAGCAGAGAACAAAGTAACTAATTCCTTTGAAATTAAGGTTGTATTTGATTTAATCAACACCTCAAGTCTTCCTTAAAACAATTACTGTTAATACCGCCATCACCACTACGATTATTATTATCATTATTATTATTACCATCACTGAATGATACCATTAAATAAGACTATAGCTACACAATAGATAATCTTGATAAAGTTAATACGATAAAAGAATATAGCTTATGCAAAATGGGTAGGAACAATATCGTGGAGAATTAAAAAAGTAAAATTATACAATGGAATAAAAAAACAAGTGTTCTAGCAGTTACGCGCTTGCACATGTCATCGAAGATCCCAGATTCTATCCTCTGCTTCGTGATTGTAGATAAGCCCCATAGTTGGACAAAAGGGTTTTTCAAAGCTTCTTCGTTTACAATGTTATTCAAATGAAGTTTAGTCTGTGATTTTAATTCTTAAGAATAGTATATACTAAACAACGATGTAGCACAATATTAGTGTATGTGGTTTGTGATGATTGTCGAATTTTATAGATCTTCGTTAAAGAACAACCAAAAACAAGGAAGCACTGTACAGCTATCCCATCCTAAGATGGAGGTTTGCATCCGCAGCCCTACTAGGGATCGTACCATTAACTTATAGGTCTAACCACGAAAATTGCACTTTTGCATTACTGAGTCGGAATCCAGTTGTTTACATTTTTGCTTACAATCTATTAGCAATATTGCAAGAACTAATAATTGTCTTTCCTATTTAAAAAGCTATTCTCTCTTGCCCTACTATATATTTATAAATAATAAATATACAGTTCTGTAGTAACATTAATGAATTTATATGTATTCCAATGAATTAATAATAATTACCTATCAAGTCATTAAACTAGAAAATTATATATTTTTAATTTAAAACCTATAAACAACTCGTATGTATGTATGATTATTAATGAGTTATTTAATTAATCATTAACAGTATAAAACCTAGCATATTTATGTTCATCTTTATAGGTTGCTATACCACATCAGCATTAAGAGATGCCAGAGCACTAAAAATGGTAACAGTATTAGTGGTTTTATTTATTTATATAAACACATAAATATTGGTACAAAATGACACTAGATATATATGCGCCACACAAATCTCATTTTATTTGTGTGAGGGCTGTGACATTGCCCAAGTGCCCAAATCGAAGTTGGTGATTTTCGTGAAGGGGGCCACACCCGGAGCCTTTGACCTAACGATCTGATTCACAAGGCAATGGAGCATCGTGAGGAAATATAGTCCCATGGTAGTCGGTGACCAACGATTGATTCATAAGCCATCTGTTCCTTCAGGATACTGGAACCCATGTGCACCATTGGTTTGGAATGAGCGTTTTCCAACTCCCCTAGGTGTCCACCAACTCCTTGTCCACCAACTCAGTCAAAGCGCAGGACATTCGCTTTTTGTCATCTCGATTTCGTAAAGAACACCCCCGCCATGAGAAGGCAGTGAGTAGGACTTGTGTGGCAGAGACTATATACACGTGACCATGTGAGAGCATTTGGAGAAGGAAAGCGTACTCTCCCCACTCTCTGCCGTACCAGGGCATTTAGATGTGGACAACATGATCCGAAAATAAACATGAATTCATGGAATAAAAAAAGAAATAATTTCGAAACTCCAGGTTTAAGAGAAGACAAAGAGTAAATGTACATGTGGCATTTCAAGTTTATGTCACTCAAAATCTCCAACCACCGGGTACAATAACCAAGTGAACTCAAACTACGTAGTCTGCATATACCTGCACGTCTCACTTCAACAGTCAATAACTTCATAGACTAATGCCCTATATTTGTTTGATCACCTCTAGTCTTCTTCCAACCTTAATTCTATACCAACTATCATTACTTGTCAATATATGTCTAGATTATTCTTCTTTTAATGTATTATTTTTTAATAATGATGGGCAATAGAAATAGTTTCGAACAATTATGGGTTCTTTTTTCCCACTTACTCTTATCTCTTTCTCCTATTTATTTTAACATCCATCTACTATGTTTAAAGTAGGATTTATTCCTCAGTATATTCGAAATGTGTGAAAATTTCTACCGTCGTTTACACTTCATATATTAGATTATTTGATATTTTTCAGAATGCTCCGTATGGTTATTTGTAGCCATTGAGTGAGCAATACTGTGGTTAGGTATTAGTGTTTTAGGCAACGGTGGCGAATCGGTTGATAAGTCAGTGATAAGTCAGTTTCGATATTATACTTCTTATGAAAAATTATGGCCTACTTCGACTCACAGTATGTGTTGGGATAAAAATGGGTTTTTGAAAAAAGGTGGAAGCGGTCAATTCTAGGCATCCATCAGTCCATGAAATAATTGGTTTTTGGATTAAGACGTGTATTTGGATTCAGGCTGTGTGGTTGAAATCAACTTGATTTTCCTGACAATTAGTTCGAGATGTTGGTTGATATTGGCTATAAATAGGTCTCCACGGTCCAAACACATATATCCTGTCTTCCTTTAAATCGTATTATACTTTAATACCAATGATTTGTTCTTTATTCTCGTATCATGTTATCCATGCCTAATCCTTATTACTACTGATATTTTATTTATTTTACTATTCCGATATTTGTCTTGATAATTTCACGTTGGTGTACTGACAACATAAATACATACGCATATGTGCCGGGTTTTACGTTGTGTATCACTAACTGACCAGTTGTTTATGTGCTTGAAGGGTTATTAGTAGTGTATGCGATAGAATTAATATTTTCTATGAACTAAACACTGTTTAGCTTTGTTTCTCCTGGCAATCTAGTCTAAATTTTTCCAAGGAAATATAATCAAACAGTAGAATAACATAATGGTATAGTTCAGATCGTTAGATCTCTATTGAGAGCCCCAAAGAGTTCATCGACAGTGTATACTGGGAACATCTTGTTTGATCATCATTAAATAAAACGTCTCAAAAACTTCCAGAAAAATTGAAAAATATATGTTACGATTTCATTGTATTATTACTTGTTTTGGTATTAAGTTTAGTTCATTTCCAGAAACTCCTAGGTCTGTAAAACCAGAAGTCAGTTCACTTTCTGTAGGTAAATTAATTTAGTGACAAAGCTGTCATGACTTTTCTCCACTATTCAACGCTTAGGTCTAGAAGTAATTGCAGAATTTAGGATTCGGGTTAAAAGTCAGTGTCAAGCTTTGAATTAGCACATATATATCAGTTTCTATGTTATCCATAAATAAGGGAGACCATTAATAAGTTTGACTATCGGTAAAGCTGAACAGCAAGGGAAAATTAAAATTTTTAAGGGTACTAAATATATTTAATTTGCACCTCTATGGTCAAATAAAAAAAAATGTAATTTTTTAGATATCTTATTGTAGTGAACAAAACATTAGTTGGGATAATCGAATGCCTCTAAGCTCAAATGACAGACTATCTCACTACATTCTGATAACTATACAATAAACAGTTAATTTGAAAAATGACAATCAATTGTCTCAATCTTAACTGTTCCTTCTGCAAATATCAGTTCATCTTCTCTAATTTCACTATTCATGCATTTTCCTACCAATTGAGCATATTTCAGTTCTTTCCTAATCAATTCTGAGGTGACATGGCTCAGAATCGATCACAATGGCGTAGGTGTATACACTCTTTATGTTCCCTTAAACCTCGAGATTAAAATTGCTTCATAACGTTTTTCCTTCCTATACTATATCCTTATATACAACCTATCTTTTAGATACTACTACCACTAAATTAACTATTTCTATGAATACGGTGTTCATCTTGTTGTCCTAACGAAGTATGGCAACTTGAACCGATGCTTAAATGTGCCTGGTCCTACGTTGTGGCTGACTGACTTTCCTTATCGGTCTTCTGCCAAAATACATTCTATGTCTGACGATCGCCATATACTACTTATGTGGACATAAGTCGACCACATTACACTATGAACAGCGTACTTTCAAAAAAATACGGTATTTTTTCTGACTTGTCT